AGACAAACAAAAAGAAAAAAAAAATGAAAAGAAAGACAAAAAAGGGGGGGCATACAAATATAACCCTTTTATCCAACGGCCTAACTCAGTTGATTAGGCATGCAAGTGGCATTCAGGAGGTTGTGGGTTCAAGCCCCATGACCGCTTGTGGTCCATTTAGTGCAAACAGATTGTGATAGTCCTCTGGATACCCCTGATTGGTATTAGCAGGGTCTATGGCCGACACGGGTGTGAGTGCGAGAGCGAGTGGGTTGTGTGTGGTGTGTGGGAAAATGTTGGTCATAGCCTCTGCTGCTACTCGATGAGGGGTGGGGGACGATGAGAAAGGGAGGCGCAGATAGTAGCAAAATGCTCGGTCTTTGCGTTAGCCGGACCCCCACCATCGGCCCCACCCCATCTCTGACTACCGCTGTTGGGGCGGGGGGCAACAAGATTAACCTCGTTTGCGAGGCCCTATGCGTGCAGGGTCCCCTCTATACAGTCTTAGGAGTAGGTAGTGAAAGGCAAAAAATAGTTTGAGAGAAGAACGTAGTGTAGTTTAAGAAAAAAAAAAAAAAAAAAAAAGATAACCTTTTTTTTCGGCTAGCTCAGTAGGTTTCATGCCTGAGCAGCACCCCGTAGGTGCTGGGTGCTATTCCCGTTGCTGTCACTTTCAGTGGCCTGAGAAGGATTGGTGGCCACAGCCAGTCAACACTGGTAACTCGCTGAGGCGAGTTGTGCCGCCCTGTAACCCGTTGCAATGCGGGAGCATCAGGCCAAATGGAAGTGGATGCTCAGGTCGTGCTGCGGCCGGTCGGGACACACCCAATACATACATATCCAATAAAAAGAGCTCTCAGGTTGAGTTCTTAGTTAGAATCATCATAGCTGACGTTCATAATTATGATGCTTATCAGGGTTGAGACTGTCAGTTTCACGATATTTCAAGAGACTCAATACACCTGTCACAACATAAGATCAATAAGGAAGCTCAATAAGTCACGATCATGACATATAATATAATATAACCTACAATAATGACTTCCATAACAATCTCGAATTACCTAGGGCCGGTCACCTGTGAATATATCTCAAGACTACCGCCCTTTAAAAAAAAATTAAAAAAAATCGAGGGAACCTGTAGCACAGGACCACAGGTCCACGAGGGCTACCGGTAGTACACTGGGGGGAACTGGCGGAGTCGCAAAATTCGAAAATGCATTGAATCAGCCCCGCGATTTATTTCGCAGTTCAAATTATTTTTACTTTTATTTTAAATATTTTTCTTGTAAAGATCACGACCAAATCTATAGACCCTCGAATTTTCAGAGTTGTTGGGTCATCCTTCTGATTGCAAAACATCGCGAAAGTTGGGTTTCTTTTCCTGTTGGCCCATACGTGGTATAAGCAAGCTTCAAATACTAACATATATGTGTGTGTGGGGGGGGGTGGGCGCACGCATGCGTGCGTGCGTGCGTGTGTGTGGGTGGGTAAGCAGGCGCGCGCGCGTGCAAGCGGGCGGGTGGGTGGGTGGGTGCGTGTGTGCAGGCAGGCCGGTCCTCCAACTTTTTTCCTTTTCCCGTCCGTCGCCGCCCGCATGAAAACGCCAAAAACGAAAAAGATGAGAATAAGAAAGAAAAGAAGGGAAAAATAAAAGAGAAACGAAAAAATGAAATGCAAAAAAAAAGGAAACTGGCCGAAAACAAAATAAAAAAAAGGGGGCGGGCCACAAACCGACACTTTCTTGCTATCCGACGACGGGCGCTTCGAGATATTCCCTCGCATCGATGCCCACCGCCACTAGGCCCCGTGGGCGCGCTCTCTCCTCTTCTGGTGCGCTGTGAACAATTCGGTACGCGCACCACTCTGCACGCCCCCGCTCCCTCGATCGCCTTCATCCGCCGGCCCGCATCAAAACTTCAACCCGATTCCGGCGCGCAGCGGAACACCGGTCTCCCCCCGCGGCCAATGCTGCTTAAGGGTTAGGAAACTTCGGATAATAATAATAATAAAGGAGATTAATTGAATTAATGTTTGACAATAAGGTGAAGATGCAAAATTGTAATCTAATTTGAAATACGAAACGTTAATTAGTTACTTTCAAAAAGGAAAATGCAAATTTTCACAAATAAAGAAGTTCAATTAATTTTAATGTTCAAAATGGGAGAATAACGTATTATAAACTTTTGTCGATCAATAGGGGTATCGTACGAAGGGGGGGGAAGGGCGAGCGGAAGCGAGGCTGGGCAGTGGGGGCGCGGGGTGAGATCAGCCGCGCGGGGGGAGAAGAGGTGCGCGCGGGGTGGGGGTGATCAAGATCGGGTAGACAACGGGGAGGGGATGACGAGACAAAGGGGAGCAAAGTGGGGGAAATTGGGGAATGACGAGGAGAAGGGGAGTGATGACGGTGGGGATGGGAGCGGGGACGGGTGATCGGGGTCGGGGACAGGGGAGGTGGGCGGGCATGGCAGAGAAAGTCGCGCGCGGGGGGGAAATGTACCCGGGCGGATCGT